ACAGAGAGGAAGGGAGAGAGAGAGAGAGTTAGAAACATCGATGAGAGAGAAACATCGAATAGCCACCTCCTGCACATCTCCCACTGGGGATGTGCCCGTAACCCAGGCACATGCCCTTGAACGGAATCGAACCTAGGACCCTTCAGTCCGCAGGCCGATGCTCTATCCACTAAGCCAAACCGGCCTCAGCAAGTTAACTGTTTTCTTAGCAAATTAACAAGGTAGAAAATTTCAAAGAACTTGTTACTTATGGTTTTCTTATCTCTTTGGTAGCAATTATGTATTAGAATCCTCATAGAGGACATAACCTGGTCTTTCCCTTCCTCCCTCATCCTGATTCTGAAAGCATCTGTCACTGGATTTCAGATGGTCTCCAGGCTTTCTGTCTGCAAGAAATCTCCCTATGCACCCGTTATCTTTCCAGGCCGCCTAAGAGTCATATTACCCCACAGGTCAGACCCCAGCCTCCAGGAAGGAGGGTTGCTATAGGAGCAGTCTGTGGTTTTCTTCAAAACTCCTACTGTTTAAAAGGAGACACACAACTGGGCTGTGAGAAGGGGCGCGGGGGTGTTGGCAGTTATGCTGCTGGCTGCAAACCTAATTGGTCTTATTAATGAACTTCCAGGTTACAAAATAATAACTCTAAGCAAATTCTTTCTCTGCCTTGATTTATTCTTTTAACCCTCCAATGCTGAATCAGACAGACACTTGTTCTTAGTTTTATCACAAAAAATCTGGATATATCTTAAGAGTAAAAGTACATTTAAAATATGTTCATAATTATTAATCTAAAATTGCTGAATATTCACTTTGGTAATCATTAAAGGATTAAGGTTTCTAAGAATAAAAAAAAAATTCTAATACGTTAAAAAAACCAACTAAACTCCCAGGAGAAAAGTGGAGGAGGAACAAAGCTAAAATCCTCAGCCGCCCTGGTGATTTAGAACTGTTTTGCTAGGCAAACTCAGCCCCTGGGAGCCAGGTCAAAGAAGGAGGGGCTGTTGCCAGCGGTGTAGCTAAGGGCGCTGGGTGCATGTAGAGGGCCGCCTGGGAGGCACCTAGGCATTTTCTTATAATTATTGTCAGCTGAACTCAGAGCATAGGCAGAGCCACACCCTGGGAACACGCTTCCCCAATAAGGCTGGACATGTTAATCAGGCAGGGGTGGAACTAGATATGTAAATCTAGGCCTTTAAAATAAACCTGCTGTGTGGCTCAGCCCGCTTTTTGCCGCCTCTCCATTGGAGAGGATGGCGCCCACCTGGCCCCAGCTTAAAATCTATTTCTGCGTCTTGGTCTTCTTTAATTTCTTAATCCCCAGCTCCTCCATTCAGCAAATGGACTGTTTCCTTTTCCATGCGGGACATGGAAAAGAGAGAAACAGCCCCCCACAGGTGCACCCACTGTGCTTTGGGCAGTGCTGGTTATGGCATCGCCCCTGGCGCCCGACGACGGGACCATCCGAGCCGAGAGAATAAGGACCTCTGGGAGGCACGGGGGCACCGCACGGCCCAGAAGCCCCTGGTAGAGAAGAAGCGGCACGCGTGGATCAACGAGAGCCTACAGGAGCTGCAGCAGCTGCTGGCGGGCACCGAGGTGAGGCTGGCGGGCCGGTGCCCAGGGGTTGCTGAGCGGGTGGACGGGGGTCAGGGCATTGCCTGGCTCCACCTCCCTCCCCCCCCTGGCGCCTCCTAAGCTGGAGAACACCGAGGTGCGCGTGCTGTGGGGCAAGGGCTTGCGGGCACGAGCAGCTGCAGGCAGAAGCCAGCGAGCGCTTTCGCTGCCATCTATATCCAGTGAACCCCCTGCTTGAGTCCATACCACTGCAAAAGGGCAGCAGCTTCCAGGATTTGCTGGGGGACGTTCTGGCTGGGCCCCTGGGAGACCCTAGGCGGAGCAGCTGGCTCAGAGGAGGGGCTGATATCCCCTTCTAGTGCACACCCTTGAAAGAGACCTGGTTCTGCTCTGCCACAAAGGGAACTGGTAAAAAGGGGCCAATAAAAAAAAAAAAAAAAAAAAAAAAAAAGCAGGGCCCTAAGGGTTAACAAAAAGGCACTCTTCCCTGGGACCTGGGAGCCATCAGGACTTTGAAATTCTCCAAGAGAGGAGGAGCCTGACTCAGAGACTGGCCGAAACCTCGTTGGGTTAGGAGAACTGGAGGCTGCATGTTGAACTTGTAGACTACAGTTTGCTTGGGCAGATGTCCGAGCCCAGTTGTGTAGAGGTTAGCTGCCTCTGTGCAGCAAACAACTTTCTCCTGTGCCAGAATGCATTTTATAGAGATTGTTCAGCTTTGTTGGCAGCTAGAGAGGAGGAAGAATGACCGCCACACACAATCCCTAACTGTGCTTGCAGAGAACTGAGCAAGATGACTCCCCTGCTACATTCCCAGGTGCTGGTTGCAAGCCAAGAGCGTGGTTCACCCTGTATGGCATTAGAGCAATGCCCTACGTGAGTGGACTTGGCTGATGCCTTCTTCTCATGGACATGGCTCCAGAGAGTCAAGGACAATTTTGTTTTGTGTAGGAAGGGTCCAACAGTGAACTTTAGTTGCCCTCCCTCGAAGGTATTTGTATAGCCCTACCATGCGTCACGTTTGTAGCATGAGATTTGGCTCCTGAAGCGGCCATGCTGCCAATATTATGTTTCATTGTATTAATATGTTGTATTAACCTTTTATTCTCTTGCAGGTTTGAATGTAGCTGTAGCCTGCCGAGAGGGAAGGTGCCCAACTGGGCAAAGAAGAATACCCATCAGGTTGTGGTCTCTATTGAGAAACAGCTACAGTAGTTGGCAGCCTGTATACTGTCTTGCAGCCTGCGTGACCATGCCCATGTCAGGAGTGGTACAAACCTCGGCTGTAGAGAGCTGGGAAAGGCCTATTTGGAGGGAAGGTCTGAGGCATGGTTGTGCATTTTTTGAAGGACATGGAGGGAAGGTTTAAAGGATCTGGTTAAAGTATGAAATTTAGAAGGTTGTGTATGTGATAAGAAGGAGAAGAGAAACATTGAAAGGAAATTAATCAATGGTACAGGCCAGTAACCAGAGAGAGTAAATAATTTACATTCTGCTCCCTAAACAGAGGGTAAATAGTTATGCCAAAGTACTTAGGGAGGACTGATAAAGAAATCCAACAGTTTACTGTTTTGTTATAACTCTGAAAAGTCACATGAAAAAGAGACTGACAGAAGAATCAGAAGATCTAGAGCAATCAGTATGTTTTTCCTCCTTATATAATTCTCCGAAATCTGCAAATGCTAAATAGTCATGGGCCATACATTCGTTGGCATGAAATCAGAAAGACCGAAAAGCAGCAAGGGAAGAACCTCAGTTACTACAAGGGAATACCCATACGACTGTCGCTGATTTCTCACAGAAACTTTGCAGGCCAGAAGGGACTGGCAAGAAATATTCAAGTGAGTGAAATACCAAGAATCTACAACCCAAGATTACTTATCCAGCAAGGCTATCATTCAGATTGAGGTCAGATAAGAGCTGTCACAGATAAGGAAAAGCGAAAGGATTTCATCACCCACCAACCAGTATTATATGAATGCTGAAAGGTATCCGTATTAAGAAGAGGAGGAAGAAAGAAAAAGGTAAAGATACAATTATGAAC